TAATTATTTTAGATGACAAAAATTTGCTGGCAGTACTGAAGTTTGAACTGAAACATTTACTGGTGGGACTTAAGGTTGTATTGGTTTAAACTGGTGGTGCGCAATCCGAGTTTGGGAACCATTGACCTAACCAAAACCTCAATCCCCCGCTAGTGGCAAGAAAGGAGAAAGAGTTCGTTCTAAGTAGAAGGCTGCTATAGCCCAAGAAGACAGCCGCTAGATGGACACAGCATCATATGTGCTGGGCTATTATGGCTGCCACTAAATGGATGCCGTTGGTTTGAAAAGCCATTAGTCTGGGCACATCACCTCCATCCAGAAAAGGATGAGCTCAAACCAAGAATCAGCTTGTTTCATAAAGAAGTCAGGCTGGAAGGGATCTCTGGAGGCCATCTAATCCAACACCCTGCAGTCTGACCATGGGGGAAATTCCTTCCTGACCCCAAATGTGATGATGAGTCTGACCCTGATTGCAGAGACAAGACCCCCTAGCCAGGAACCTCTGGGCTTTAGTCCCAGCAGGAGCATTGGCACAGCCCAAGCTGCAGCCAACATCCCTGAGAAAGGCAAAATGTGTTTATTCTTTGAAGACTGAAGGCTGAGAAGGGATAGAGGATGTCTATGAACACATCCGCAGGATAAACACCAGGGAGTGAGGTATTCAGCCAAAAAGGCAGCCCTGGTGCAAGAACAGATGGGCATGAACTGGCCCTGATGAAGTTGAGGAAGGGAGTGGGAAGTGGTTGGGTGCTCTCAGAGATGGTGAGGGTCCGGAGCAGCCTGTCAACAGCAGCAGTCAGGGTGGGAACCTGATTATTTCTAAAATGAGTTTGGATCATCTTGAGAATGAAGTTATGGGACGTGTGAGAGATTAGACCAGGTCACACAGGTGGTCCCTTTCCACACTGGTGTGTCACCAGTTACAGGCCTGGCTACATGTCAGTGGTTACACACCTGGGATCAGAAAGTGGCTGAGACCATTTGGGGACACAGGCCAAGGCTTATGATGTATGAGGACTGGACTGTGAGACCACTTGAGCCCCCAAGCATATAACGGCCCCTTTATTTAGTGACCCTCTAAGCTTAATGGGTCTTTTGGGGCACAAAGCACTGCTCAAAATTGAGCTCCAGAAACCTCAGGGAAGGCATATGCCCTACCTGTTTACACATGCGCGTGCACATGCATCCACAGAGCCTGGAAATGCAGAGGTGAGCCTGCTCTGAAGGTGCCCTCTGAAGCTACCCCTGAACCTCCAGTCTCGGGCATGCTTGAGTCTCCACCCTTGGAGCAACTTGGCTGTATGTCTAGGATTAGCATGGGTGACTGAGAGTGTGTGAGCAGGGCCCAGGTGGGAGCCTTGGTCTGGAGATGTGGTGTAGACACCCAAACCAAAAGCCCGTTCTGAAAACGCCAGTGTTAGTAGAGCACTTCCCTTGTAAAGCCTTCGTGATGCATCAGTAGCCGCAGAGCAGTAAGAGGTCCCGGTCGGCGCCCCTGGAGCTGGGCATCTGACAGGCAGGTAAATGGGCAGTTTGGGACTCAGAGACATGATGCTTGCAAAAATATCTGTGCTTCCCTGCATTCCTGGCAGCCTGTCTCCCCACTGCAGAGTGGGGGCGATGCCTTCTAGCAAGGCATCACCACACCCCACCTTGTTTCTTCTCTCTACCGCCTTTATTGTTAATCAGATTCCCAACCAGCTCTGTATATTGCCTGAGCCAAGCTCATTAACATACAGGTAGCTGTCATTAAGAGTGTTAATAAAGCTGCTGTATACAAAAAGGCCCCTGATTTCCCTGGGAATTTTGTTCCACAGCCCCCAAATGATCCAGAACCTGGTGGCTCAGATGAGCCATTTTGAACCATCCAGACCTGCCACATTCAGCAAAAAATCCAAAAGAGGGGGAAATGTGCAGTAGATTCTGCCTCCGGTGTCAATAGTTTCTGAAAGGAACAAATGCAATTTTTTTTTTGCCTTTGCTCCTGGTGCCTGCAATTTTGCAGGTGCAAACAATTATCCTGATGCACAATTTAGGTTATTTAGACTTCCAAATACCTGATCTGTTGGTGTAATCAGTTATTGACAGCTAAACTGGGGTTATTTTTAGGTGCATATATTGGGCAGAAAAAAATATTACAAAAAACCCCCAAACTCCTTTATAAAGCAGTATTTCCCTATGGTACCGTCTTCTTTGCAAGTGTCCCCTTTTGAAGCTTTCAAATTGTGGAAAGATCCTCATCAGCCACTTTAGACAATATTCGTTTTAAATTTAATTCAATCTTTTTTATAAAGGCAAATAGCATAAACCAACCTCCTTAACTCTGCCCATGCGGTACATGTAGTTGCTCCAGCTAATGTCCATAAAACATGTTTGCAAGGCATATTTTTCCTTGTCAGTGAGGAAGGGAGACATGTGAAGGCCAGGCTTTCCATGGGCAGGTACCTGCTGGTGTGCACACAAGTGCAGATTCTGCCTCTAAGTGTGCACGTTTTGTGAGTGATCCAAACTGAGTCCCTTTTGAAGAGGTGGATTGACTCCTCAGTTCAGATCACCTGGGCAATCCCTGCTCTCCTGCTTACTGCAAGACTTGGCTCTGCCCTCAGGGAGAGGTACCTTGGAGAGACCAAGACCATGTTTATTACCTGGGTCTACGCCCCGCTCTTGTTGCACGAGTGGAAATGCTACCTGTCCCCAGGCAGCTGCAACTCCTTGTATACACGGGACTTGGAAGGAGGAGTGGGATGGGAGGCTAGAACAGGTGAGGAGTTTGTCAGTGAAGCAGTTCTTCCCTGGGAAAATGCATGCTGTTTGAGTCCCATTTCTCTTTTTGGGGTTTTTTGTTGTTCTCCCGCCCTGGCGGGGGGTCAGGCTAGAAGATCTACTAGGTCCCTTCCGACCCTTAATCTATGAATCTAGGAATCTATGCTCACTGAAACCACACGGCTTTATGGAGGTGTGCTGTTTGCAATAGCAAGGCAGGCTGGGTCCCAACAGAAGCATATGTGCTGAGCTGTCCACTTCATAGCAGGCTGCTGGCTCTGTGGCTGCTGGGGTCAGGGACCTCAGTGCCTCCAGATCCTGGCTCTGGGCACCGCTGCCATGTAGACTGGGGATTTCTCAGTCCTTCCAGGCTCCCTGCCCCAGGCTGGGGTTAGCAGCATCCAGGCACCTGCCTCCAGTAGGGAGCCCAGCTCAAACAGGGGTATTCAGGGCCCAGCATAGAGCGGGAAGTCAGACCTGAGCTGGTCTCTTGGGGTGTGGAAGTGGTGGCTCCCAGGCAAAATTATTGGATTTAAGACCTGCCCCCTTCAATTTATTTCCAAATGCCAGCTCTACAACCGTTTCATGAACCTACTCCCCGCTGCCTCCCTGCTAGCAGCTCCAGGGATGGGATCACATCCCTTTGAGCTCTGCTGTGGGCGAGGTAAGCTACGGGCGGGATAAGCACCCATTTCAGCCTTGCTCACCAATACTTTTTCTTTGCCTTGCTGTGCTGGACCACGTGCTTTATTGCAGTGTTTCTGTTAATTGTGTTTGCCTTGTTGTTATAATATCGTATGACTCCAGTTACCTCCTTGGCCTCTGCGTGGAGAAGGAGGGGTTACATGCCCAGGCTGGCTATGGAAGACCTTTAGCCTCAGCAGTTTCAAGTGTTTTTGAGGGTGCTCAGGGCTGCGCAGGCTGGATCAGGGGCAGAGGGACTGCTTTTAATTCCTTGGAGGAGACAGAGGACCTCTAGCTGGGCAGCGGTTGCCCCTTTACGGAAGAGGCTCTCGGCTGTGCTGCTCGGTGCTGTGGCTTGCACTGTGTCACCCTGAGAGGGGGTGAAGTCCGTCTCTCCGGAAGAGCACCAGGTGCCAGCTTCTTGCATCAGAGCCGCACAGCACCAGGGAAGGCGAGGGACCTCACGGATACCGTCTCAGAGCAGGAAGGAGCTCACGCTCCCCTCTTGCCTGACAAGCCAAGCCTGAGCTGGCTTCAAGGGGGATTCTCAAGACCGGAAAGGCAGGCCCAAGTGAGCACCCCGCTGGAGGGTGCTCCGGGATGGGGATCGTGGATGGGATACATGCCCTTTTCCACTCTGCCTTGCTCATTTCCATCACAGGGGTCAAGAACTGCCCCATGGCTGGATCCCTGGACTGGCCTGGAGATCCCAGCCCAGTGGGGCCTCCTCCATCCCATCCACACAACCACAGGTGGCATTGGGGAGGCAGAGGCACACAGCCGAGCTACAACTCCCCCGCCAGCTGCAGGCACCAATGGGGCAGACATGGGAAGGCGTCTGGACCGAGCTCAGAGCTGGCTGGGGGGCATCTGGAGCGGATGCTGGGTGTGGGATGTTTTGGCAGAGGGGTCAGGGCTGGGTGGTGGGAGGGTGTGATGGGGGGTGTCTGAGGCTGGGCAAGGTGTCTGCTGGATATCAGGGCTGAGTGTGTCTCCAGGGGTCAAGGCTGGTCTCCAGGGAGGCTGACGGGCCGTCAGAGCTGGGGGAGGGGGATGTGTGGGTAAGGTCAGGGCCAGACGCGGATACAGGCATGGGTGAACTGGGCAGCCACCCAGTGCCCAAACAGAAAGGGGGCCCAAAAATGGTCACGTTTTCCCCATTGTCCCATTATTATCATTATCATTCTCTCCAGCGAAGGTGGGGCTGATACTAAAAGTTTTCCCAGGGCTGCCAGGAGTCTAGGTACGGCACTGGTCAGCACTGGGCCCTAGGAGACTGAGGGAATCAGGGCTGGGAGGAAGGGGGCCGAGCACTCAGGGCTGGGCTTTGGGGGACTGAGGCGGTCAGGGCTGAGTGAGTCACGGCTGAGGAGAGGGGGTCAGGGCTGAGCGAGGGCCGGGTGCGGGAGTGCAGGTCACGGTTGGGCTGAGGGGGCTGAGAAGCAGGGCGGGAGA